AATGCAAGAAATCATGATGGAGTAATTCCCCACTAGATGGAGCGATAGCCTCAAATGCGTAGGGTGTCAATGGATGCAGGTGGGTCGGGACCGTTACTTTTGGCGGTCTATGGGGGCTTATTTTCAGCAGTGGCCAGACAATGAAGATGATAATGGAATGATTCACCTGCTATGCTTATTATAATGTCGGGGCACCAATGAGGAATGATAAGTGAGGATGTAATCAGGTTAGACAGAGTTGGAACCGCGTAGAGGTCGTCATGACTCCTGTCATATATTGCTAGCAATAGGCATTGATAAACCTTATTTAATTATTTTTTTAAACAAAATTACAACTCTTTTAAAGTGAAGAGATGGCAAAACCAAACTAGCAGAAGCACAATCAGCCAGAGTTCAGGGTCCCAGGGCGAGAATTCGGCGTACTATGCGAGCAGTATCCAAGTATACCGCTTTCTACATCTTTCTCGGGAGTGAGCTGCCTTGGAATCCAAACCGTCTGAGGTGTTATTTAATTATTTATTATTTTTTCATTATTATATTAGCCATTAACTGTCCACTGTTGAACATGACACTCATACATTAGGAAGGTAGGCTTTGGTGATGTTTAAAAAGGGCTACTGCTGTTCATCCCTTGATCACTTAGTTCCTTGAGTCGCCTCTAACGATACCTACGGGAAAGGAACAAGTGGTCCATTTTAAGCCGAGACTACACGGTAATTATTTAATTAACTTAGTTAGAGAAAGAAAGAGAAACATTTATTGACAACAACAAAAAATTACAAAAATTATGAATTAAAAAAAAAAAAACTTTACATTTATTATTGCCAACGTGGTCACCACTCAGCGTGTGCTGCAGCAATTTAATTGCTACAGCGCTGATATTCTGTGGTGCCCATACGTGACATTACGAACGACGACAGCAAACATACGCATATATATATATATATATATATATATATATATATATATATATATATATATATATATATATATATATATATACATTTGTTATTTTGTGACTATATCACTGGTTACTTTTTAATTTTTTTGTTTTATTCAGGAACTTTTTATTAATTGCTTATTTGAAGATTAAAAAAAATATATTACGAGTACATACACATCGATAGGTATTTGCTTAGCTCATGGATAGGTCAATTTCATTGAATTAATGTAACATTAACCAGAGGGAGACTTTGTACAAAAGTCGATTGCTTGAGTATCTCTGTCCCATTCGTGTTTCAACCGTAAAGCAGTTGTTTGCATGGGTATGTTTGGGTTTGAAGGGTGGGATATGGCGTGAATTTACTGAGTACGGAGGAATAACACCTGAGTCCCCAGGAATGGCAACGCATGGGGGGTATCATGGGCGAAACAGTATACTCTGTTATGTCCATGGTACTGCTTATGTCTATAGGCGACGATTACCACTTTCCATCAGGTGAGCCGTCAGCTTGTTCGCCATTATAAGTTGAATAAAATAATAAAAATAATGAAGTAACAATTGTTTAATCGTAGTGTCAAATCAATACAATTTGTGTGTAAAATCAATCAATCAATCAGTTTATCTAAAATGTTTAAATATTTTTAATTAAATAAAATGGTGGACTGATTGAAATGAAATTTGGTAAACTAACTACATCTTAGACTAATAATTTTAGTATGTTAACACGTAGAATAGGTATTTCTTATTATTATAAAGGCGGATAACAGGTTACAGCCATCACCACTCTCCATTGATTCTATAATATCGCTATCAAACATGGAATCAGGTGAAGGTCGCATATGTTAAGAGAACCATTGTTCAGTGAAGCAACGGTTTCCTTATTTGATATCTGGTAAGCCGACCTTACCCTTCATTCTTATTGCGTAAGGAATAAAGGCTATAATCCCGTAAATATGTCGTGACAATGAATTTAATCGAGCTTACAAAGATTGCAGCCCGTGACTTGCCGATCCGACGATAGATTTGAATCTATTAATGTTATGGGCGGGGACTATTGCAAAAGTTCACTATTATTTTATAAGACTCGTATAATTGTGCGGTTAGAGATGCCGATTGATAACTAGACTGCCTATTATGTTTAGAACAGACTATATCTTAATTACTATTAAGGAATATTAAGGACAGAAGGGGAAAAATGTTAGGACACTTGATACGACACGACGAACTTATGAACATTATAATAGAAGGTAAGATAGAAGGAAGAAGGGGAAGAGGGAGACCGAGACATAGTTACATCAGGCAGATCAAGGAAGGAGTTGGTGTCGTGTCGTATCAAGAGGTGAAGAGACTCGCTGAAAATCTTAGTGAGTGGCAAGAGCTCCACCGACAAGAGCGCAGCTCTTAAATGGATAGATAGATAGATATCTTAATTGTTTGATATTTATACGTAGAAAATAAAATATCTATTAATTTTATTTGACTTTGCCTTTTTTTGTGAATTTATTAAGCAAATAAAAATTTTACAAATTTCATTGTTTACTCGCTTACTCGCTCTCTCTGTTGTGTGTGTATGTGAGCGCGCGCGTGTGCGTGCGTGCGTGCGTGCGTGTGTTCGTGCGTGCGTGCGTGTGTTGTGCGTGTGTTCGTGCGTGTGTGAGTATTAGCATACGTGCGTGTAAACATACGTGCATTTCATTATATTTTATAAATATTACTTTTTAGTAATATTTTACAGCAATATGTAAACTTCTTCTCTCGCCAGTCTTTGATTATGTTCAATTTTCCACAAATTTATACTACACAATTTCCAAACAGACAGGGACTGATTCTTGGAATAAATAAATATTTACCTATCTTATTTAAACTTATTCATTAACATTGAACGAGAAGGTCAATCTAATTATTAATTAACTCTGAGGAATAATAAATTACTTAGACTTAATATCAACAAAGGATAAATTTTGTAAACATTTCACAAAAATATGTTTCTGTAGTAGTCGGGTAATGCAGAAACAAGATTTGCTAAATGGTTTACAGGGTACAGAGGAATAACACCTGAGTCCTGGGGGGAAAGGGATTGTTAGTAATGGAGACTGAGAATCCTATTGCTAGCAATATACCCAACCAGGTCGACTGATGAATTCATCATGATGGGCTAACTGGCCTGTTTTCATTCTCATCTATCACCCTTCACTGGTGCTCCGCCAGCGTATCTCGTTAGCGCAGGCGGGGTTACCATACCATTTTCATTCATCAAAAAAAAAAACCCCTGAGTCCTCAGGAATGACAATGCACGTGGGTATTATGTCCATGGTACTGCTCATATCTATAGGTGACGGTGACTTTCCATCAGGTGGGCCGTCAGCTCAAAAGTTTAACATTTTCTTTTACAGACAAAAACTGACTTCAATAGTATCAAGAGTTTATTTATTTTTGTGTTTTTGTTTAGATCATCATCATCATCATCTCAGGCGTTAACTGTCCACTGCTGAACATAGGCCTTTCTCTATTAGGGTTTTGCCAGTAGTTGCTATGGTATATTTGGCGGGCGGGTTGACAACCACAGTAAGGTTCTGGTGATGTGGTGCTGGTCTCTCGACCCTAAATTCCTTAGTCGCCTCTTACAATAACCACGAAAAAGGAAGGGATGATGCATTCTATGCTGAGTCTACAGGACAAAATTTGTATAGATATCAGGTTGTAACGAAATGTTGAAACATGGATGGACTTAATATGGTAGCAATACGTAATATCGATATGTCTATCAAGTATCGGTTGGTATTAGAATTATCAAAATCGATTGAGAGTCAGTGACGTAATCGCTTCATACATAGACTAAAAAAACAAAACGGACGAATGGAATTATTAGTTCTAATTTTGGATATTTTTTTTTAAGCAACTTCGAATGACAAAGAAGTTGACGGCCCACCTGATGGAAAGTGGTAATCGCTGCCTATAGACATGAGCAGTACAATGGACATAACAGAGTATACTGTTTCGCCTATGATACCCCCTATGCGTTGCCAGTCCTGAGGACTAAGGTGTTATTCCTCTGTACCCTGTAAATTCACTGCCATATCTCACCCGTCAAACCGAAACACAGCCATGCAAACACAACTGCTTCACGGTAGAAACACGAATGGGACAGAGGTGGCCAAGCAAACGACTTTTGTACAAAGTCTCCCTCTGGTAAATCTCTGTTGTAAATAAGTAATCGTCGAATATGTAGAAAACTAGAAAGAAAAATTGTAGGTACGCATAAATAACAAAAGGTAAATAAAGAACAGTAATATTTAAAATTTTATCAAAGTATTAATATATATGAAAATATTTTCAGCCATTATTCAGTCTTCGTTACTGTTTGGACAAATTTATTCAATTTCTATATCTTTGGATTTCGGTTTCTCAAACTTTACCAGAGGGAGACTTTGTACAAAAGTCGATTGCTTGGGTACCTCTGTCTCATTCGTGTTTCAACCGTGAAGCAACTGTGTTAGCATGGCTGTGTTTCGGTTTGAAGGGTGGGATATGGCGTGAATTTACTGGGTACAGAGGAATAACACCTGAGTCCTCAGGAGTGGCAACGCATGGGGGGTATCATGGGCGAAACAGTATACTTTGTTATGTCCATGGTACTGCTCATGTCTATAGGCGACGGTTACCACTTTCCATCAGGTGGGCCGTCAGCTTGTTTGCCATTCTAAGTTGTATAAAAAAAAAAAAACTTATTTCATTACACACTATTATTATTTATAAAAGCGGTTATTTTTTACGTGTAATTTTTTTTCATTCATGTCAATATATTATCATAATTATTTATAATTATAGCAATGTCCTTACGAGCCGCTAATCATTCGTCAAACATGTCAAAAATCAGTACAAGGTACGAGACAGCGTCCACGCATCCACTTTCCGTGACGCAAGATTCGCTAACGAACTACTGCGTTCGCATAATGAGATCGAAAAAAAATATATATATTTCAAGTACAAGCGCCGGGGACTGTCGCAATCTGGGTCAATCAATAATTTCACTGACATATAAAAACGTTAATTCGAACTTATGACCCATCAGTCTTGTTGCAAACGTGACACATACAGTTTACAATGCAAAACACTGTAAGTGCATAATTTTAATAATAAATAAATTGCACATGATTATTTCCAACCATTTATACACGGCATACACCGCGTAATCTCTGATTTATTACTGGCCCTTTGATATTTAATTTCACCCTTTTCAACAGAAAATGTTTTTTTTGTTTTTGATATATTACACAAAAAGAATAATAATGTCCGAAAAAAAAATACAAATTTTATTTGTCCTTTGATGTGCAGTTAAATTTAATGGTGGATAAATGAAACAATATTTTTCAAATATTAAATATGCTTGAGAAATTCTATACTAAATATAATAAAAGAGAATATTTAGATATCAATATACTTACAAATTATTATAAAGTATACAAAAAATTTCAAGTTTACATCTAACTATATGTTTATTTTTGTATTTACATTGGAGATATCAAAAACAGCAAGTTGCTATTTTAAAACAATCATTTGTAAAATTAGATTTTTTGTTTATTGTTATTTTGGATTTTGTACAATTTAAAATTAAATTACTTAATTTAATATAACTTAAATATTAATATAAACTTTGCTATGTAGCCCCGGCATAGAGTGGGCCACCCCTTCCTTTCCCGTGGGTGTCGTAAAAGGTGACTAAGGGAACTTAATTGTAGAGGGATAGGTAACAGCTTCATTCTCTAAAAGTCGTCGAAACCTAACAGCGTTTGTGATGTCGCTTGCTAAGCGTGGAAAAACTTCTGGAAATATCCTCCAAGGGGAAGGCCTGTGTTCAATAGTGGATATTAGAGGGAAACTTTGTACAAAAGTCGATTGCTTGGGTACCTCTCCCCCATTCGTGTTTCAACCGTAAAACAGTTGTGTTTGCATGGCTGTGTTTCGGTTTGAAGGGTGGGAATTTACTGAGTGGGTACAGAGGAATAACACCTGAGTCCTTAGGAATGGCAACGCATGGGGGGTATCGTGGGCGAAACAGTGTACTCTGTTATGTCCATGGTACTGGTCATGTCTATAGGCGACGGTTACCACTTTCCATCAGGTGGGCCGTCAGCTTATTTGCCATTCTAAGTTGTATAAAAAAAGCTCAAGGCTGATATAATAATAATAAAATAATTTAATTAATTTTATTATTTTGAATTGCAGATAATTTTTGCCGCCATTTTCGCGTGCGCAACGGCTGCGCCAGCGCTACTGCTGAGCCACGATACGGAGCTAATGCACACTGTTCCATTAGCCAAATCCACAATCACGAAGAGCAGTCAAGCGGTTGATCATGGAAGCACTCTAATCCATACACCTGTTCTTCCTGTCGTTCACACTTCACTGGTACATACTCCAGTAGTACCTGTATCCAAAAGTACTGTTACGAAGAGTAGTCAAGTCGTAAACCATGGTGGCACTGCAGTAGTTCACAGCGTATCAGTGGTACCATTGGCTGCACACGCTGTTCAACAAGACGCTATAGTACATGCTGCTCCATCAAAAACGACCGTGACAAGAAGTAATCAATTTGTCAACCATGGCAGCACGTTGATCCACTCAAATCTAATTCCTGTGCATACAGCCCCCGTTTTGACTCAGTCAGCACCGGTGCTTGTACACCCAACTCCACTGTTCCACTCATCTCCATTATTGAGTCTGAAGACTGGAGACTCAGCAGTGTCCCATCATAGTTCGACTGTTCACGAGACAGTGCCGGTTGTAAAATCATTACCGTACGTCTCTTTGTACCACTGAACTTGTTGGTGTCTGTTAAATTATTCATTATGTTTATTGTATTGATTGTTTTTAATAAATTTATTTTTTGAAATCTGTAAATGATGTTTGTTTGATAATTTTTGGCACAGTTCACAGTTTATGCACTACTAACTGTGTGATCCTGGCTTAGGATAGGTCACTCCCTCCTTTTCCCTCGGTGTCGTAAGAGGCGAGAAAGGGAATTTAATAGTGGAGAGATGAGTGTCCCTCTTAAAACATCTCTAAAGCCTAACTGCGGTTGCCAACCCGTCTGCCAAACGTGGCAACTATTGGCAAAACTCCCCTTATGGGGAAGGATTATGTTTAGTCTAGTGTGAGGATGAGATGTGTAGATAGATAAATAGATACTCTTTATTGTTTCCTTCATAAGATTACAATAGTAAACTTATTATAGATACAAACAATTACAAGAAAATGTTACACTAAGAAAATAATGGACGGCCTTATCGCTAAGAGCGATCTCTTTCAGGCAACCTTTGGATGGAAACGAGTAATTATAAATAGTTTGAATATTTGTATAGAGTAGCTACTTTTTTAAAATTTTTCTAAGTCTAACCCTTGTACTAAGGGTGGGATATGATAGTGAAAATAGCTTCAAAGCTTAATTGCGGTTGGTAACCCGTCTGCCAAGCGTGGCAACTATTGGCAAAACTCCTCTTATGGGGAAGGATTATGTTCAGCAGTGGATATTTAATGGCTGAATTGACACTACACTAACCGTATCTGACATTTTTTTTATTACAAAATGGGATTGCTTCTGATTTTACCTTACCTGACATATACCGGGGGGAAAGGGATTGTTAGTAATGGAGACTGAGAATCCTATTGCTTGCAATATATCCAACCAGGTCGACCTCCTAGTGGTTCCCCCTGGAAACTATCATGGTTAATTCCTGTTGAATCCATCATGATGGGCTAACTGGCCTGTTTTCATTCTCATCTGGCACCCTTCACTGGTGCTCCGCCAGCCTATCCCGTTAGCGCAGACGGGGTTACCATACCATTTTCACTCATAAAAAAACCTGACATATACGCCACTAACTGAATCCCAGTTTCGACTATGTAAATATGCTAATATTGAATGGCCTACAAAACTTTCTTACAAAATGAATTGCAAATGAAACGCAAAAGGAATATTTCAAATCAGACAGGTAGTTCAAGAAATTAGCGCGTTCAAACAAACAAATAAAATTGTAGCGTTTCATTAAACATATATAATGATATAATGTTAAAATTGGAACTAAAATATCTTCTAGTAAATAAAATAATAGAGAAATCGCAGGGAACCTCCCGTGTGATTTCTATACAATTGATTGGAATTTGGGAAATCAATAATACATTCTTACGACGACAAACAAGTATGAATATTTAATTTAATGAATGAAATGAGTATTTATTTGCCAAAACACTTTTACATCGATGATTAATTCTTCGAATTACACAATCGGTATGCAAGCCTGTGGTGTGAAATACAGAAATGCGATTTGGCCATGGTGATACATTAAGTATTCGACTGATATACTAAAATATATATTTTTATATATAACAATGTCTATATAAATAAGTATTGTAACAAAACATTTTTATTATGAATGAAAATAGATTTTTTTTATACAACTTAGAATGGCAAACAAGTAGACGGCCCACCTGATGGAAAGTGGTAACCGTCGCCTATAGACATGAGCAGAACCATGGACATTACAGAGTATACTGTTTCGCCCATGTTACCCCCCAATGCGTTGCCATTCCTGAGGACTCAGGTGTTATTCCTCTGTATCCTGTCAATTCACCTCATATTCTACCCTTCAAACCGAAACACAGCCATGCAAACACAACTGCTTTACGGTTGAAACATGAATGGGACAGAGGTACTCAAGCAATCGACTTTTGTACAAAGTCTCCCTCTGGTATTTATATCTAGTATAAATATTTAATAATAAAAATTATGATTTCGTAACAAAGGATATAGCACTGAGTTAAGTTTTCCTCGGAATTAGTCCAAGCATCCTTTACTACCAATTGTGTTTGAGCAATGAGTTTGCGTAGTTCACTTAATTCGGCCGAGTGGTTTCTGTCATTTAGAATAATCATAATTTATTGCGGAGATAGTCTTTAATCATTGCAAAGACATCATATATATCAGTGAAAGGCCGTGATCTTTTCGAAGTCAATTTATTTATTTTGCTAACTCTTTCACTCTTTAGTAAATGCCAATCATCCATCACTGTTACACGATATGTTTCGTTTCTTTGTACGCAGTTTTGAAATTTACAAATTTTTCAATAACAATTTTAAATTTTAAATTAATTAATTCTTTTATATTCTGAACTAACAGAAATTTATAACTACTATTGCTTTCATAGAAAACGACAAGAACGAAACGATATGGTGGGATATGGCGTGAATTTACTGGGTACAGAGGAATAGAATAGAATAGAATAGAAAATCATTTATTCAAATAAACTTACATTGAAGCACTTTTGAATAGTCATTACATTTTTTTAATCTACCGCACCGAATAACACCTGAGTCCTAAGGAATGGCAACGCATGGGGGGTATCATGGGCGAAACAGTATACTCTGTTATGTCCATGGTACTGCTCATGTCTATAGGCGACGGTTACCACTTTCCATCAGGTGGGCCGTCAGCTTGCTTGCCATTCTAAGTTGTATAAAAAAAAAAACGTATTCTTTTGACCTTGCACTCGTCAAGAAAGATGATCCGCTACGCATTTCCTCTTGTATTGTTTGTTTTGTGCTATCAATTTATTTTCCTCAATCACGATGATTCTGATAAGTAATTTATTGTTTAGGATTGTCATTAGTCGTTGTCATTATTTTGTTTATTTCTTTCTTACATCTTTTCAATGTGTTCTTCCAAGAATTGAATGCGGCAGTAGGTAAACACAAGATTTACTAATACTTAGGTAATATCCCATTTTGAGTAATCAAGAAAAATATCATATTTCCCAGAGCTCACCGTTAATTTGGATTGATCTTGAAATTTGGCAAAAACAATATTATATTACAAATAATAGAGGGGATTGAGTGAAAATCGAAAACTAACAATGTTTGGTTTCAACCAATGCTAATAAATTATGTTTAAGTGCATGGTTGTGGGATTCGATTCCAGTACAAATCATTATTAGCATTGATACTTGCTGTTCAATTTCACCAGAGGAAGACTTTGTACAAAAGTCGACTGCTTGGGTACCTCTGTCCCATTCGTGTTTCAACCGTGAAGCAGTTGTGTTTGCATGGCTGTGTTTCGGTTTGAAGGGTGGGATATGGCGTGAATTTACTGGTTTCGAAGGAATAACACCTGAGTTCTCAGGAATGGCAAACCCATAGGGGGTATCATGGGCGAAACAGTATACTCTGTTATGTCCATGGTACTGCTCATGTCTATAGGCGACGGTTACCACTTTCCATCAAGTGGGCCGTCAGCTTGTTTGCCATTCTAAGTTGTATAAAAAAAAAACCATCATAAAATTCACCACAAATTAAAGTTTCATCATCCAACCATTTGTATGAGTGGCGGTATTCCACCGTGCGTTTTTCAAGGCACTTTCTTCCACATACAATATCATAACCTACAAGAAAACTTCCGACAGTGCTCATGGTAAGCCGGAGTTACTCATCATCAGGTGAGCCGCATGCTCGTTTGCCCCCTGTGTTGTAAAAAAAAAAAAAAAATTAGTATTCATAAGTACGTCAGTTTGTACTGCTGTCTGTATGTATGTACTGTTATAGGTATTATTTCCGTATGTAAGAAAAATAGGACGTACTTAATCATTTATACCAGTCATCTAGGCTACAGTCTCTACTTAGTTTGGGACAACAAAAAAATTTTTCAGATTAGGCTCCAGACACGAAAAACAAAGAGAAGTAAGCACTAATGATATCAACGTATTCGGAGATAGTTTACTTTCGACAGAACTAGCATAATCACAATTGATATAAAACAACAAGCGTTAATAAACTCAACTTTTTCTATACAAAACTGAAACATTTCTTATGACTACGACGAATAACCTAATTAACGCAGTTTCGACTAGTAGCTGCAAACTATTGTTTGTATCAATTCAACAAAGACAAATTTTCATGTGCCTAATGATTCGTAAACATCATTATGTCTAGAAGGGACTAATTGATTTACAGTTCATTGAACTAGTATGGTATTAATGAAACAACGTCATGTTATGGCAAACAATAAAATAACAAAGGGCATATTTGTTGTTTTAATACCGAAACGCTATGACCAGGAATGAACGATATAATTAGAAGATCACTACGTAACAAAGTAAGATTCAGTAGTTTAGTTTTAAAGTTAAAATAACTGATTTTGCCACAATGAGGTCAGTTTTTTTATGGAACGCAATTTTAAATGCTTAGATTATATATAGATAGAGTATCGAGCCTCAATAACGGATCAATTTATTGTCAGCTAATTGTCAAATTAGCTGACTCTTTTTTTATCAGTGTTCTACTATATAATTACGCATAAAATGTATCGTGAGTGTTTACGCGTTAAAAAGACGCACGAAAAAAAAAAACAAAATAAATATAGAAGTTATAAAGGAATCACTCATAACTTATCAACCAAAATTGTATGAAAAAGTTGACACACTTTTCTCGAAGCATTTGTATATAGACACTATAATTAAGCACAAATGATTACTAAATCAAATACTTTTGTCCCCTACGTAGTGGTAGTTACTTGGTAAACGTAGTGGCAACTACATTTTACCAAGTAAATACTATATATATAATAAACTGCGCTCCTTACAAGTGAAAAAAAAAAACTTTCAATAATACATATGATCATCTTCTGTATGTATTTTACGAATTACAAATATTAAAAATGCAAAAACGAACCCAAATTTTCCCGTACCGATTTTATTTCCGTCTAAAAATTTTATTTCTCGACACACAATTTTTTTACCAATAATTGCAATTAAAGAGGTACGCACTTCGGCTCTACTGCGCTCCTTAAAATGTGGAATATGACGTTACAGTGATTTTTAAAAATCCCCAAAGAAAGGTTCGGTAATATTCTT